GACCGAGCACTGGGACAGGCTGCCCAGAGAATTTCATGGAGTCTCCTTCTCCGGAGAGATTTAAAACCCGCCTGGACGCCATCCTGTAAAACCTGCTCTAGGTGATCTTGCTTTAGCAGGGAGGGTTGGAGTAGATGATCTTCAGCGGTCCCTTCTAACCCCTACGATTCTGTGATTCTGTGAAATAATTATATAAAAAGACAACCTCAGTAATGCCAGGTCTGCCTGGATTCATGATACAGAAGTACAGATTGTCTGTGATCCATGAGTGACCCTGGCCAGGGAGATGATCTTGGCTTGGAATCTCCCACCCTACAGGTGGGACAGAACACACACTTGTCCCCATGATTTCCATCACCTGTTTCAAGCACAGTGTCTGGGTGATGCCATTCCTAGGCATCCCCTTCAATACAAGGAATTTAGGTTTCTTGCTGGTGCTGATGAATGGCAGACATCATGCCTTAGGTCCCTGATGTATTCTTAATGTCCAAACATAGCTGGAAGGCCACCCTGCACTTTGTAACACCAAGCAATAGACTCTCTGCAAAGCAAAGCAAAGCAATAGTGCAAATTCTTCTGTGCTTCTCATTACCAGAGAAGTGGAAGAGAAGTTTTGCAAACTTCTTTTCACATCTTCACCACCTCATCTTTGTCAATGCCAGAGTCATTTCATTATGAATCGGTCCCCTCTGCCACCAGGCCTGTCGCATTACTCAGCTGGGCTCCTCCTGGAGACTGGCAATGGTAGCAGCTGCTTAAAGCAGCTCTAAGAGCAGCTCTAAGTAAAGGAGCTGCAGCAGGAACCGGCAAGTGGTTTAACGGACTGGAGGGGCACTTGGTGCCAGTGAACTCACTTGAAATATGCTGGAGCCTGCAGCTTCGGTGGCAAATATAGCTCACCAGACCAACTGTCTGCATGTGTTAGCCCTGCTTTGAGGGACTCCCATTCACTGGTACCAGCCAAAGGAACAGGAAAAAAGCACAGCCATCCCCATGGCCCTTGCTTCTTTTCAGGTGGCATATTGACACAGAGCAAGGAGGGAGCAGCCCAGTGTAACCAGCCACCACTCATCTGTTTAGGAGATGCCTGGGAGGCATTTCCAGACCAGAGTCCAGCTCTGGGCTCTGGTTTCGCATGGGGAAACAATGCAGCTCTTACCAAAAGGGGCTGTATCTCTACAGCTGCCGTTAAAGCTACAGCTCTACATGAGGCACAACCCTATTAAAATCTGCTCATTTCCATTATTTTTTTGTCAACTACTCCAAGTTGACAGCACCATGCAAAGCCACTCTGAAAAGCATACCATGTCCTACATAAGCTGTGACTATGTCTTCTCTGATCTTGGCAAGACCAAATGCTGCTATATAGTTATTCGTATGGCATTACAAGACCCAAGCAGATGGATCTAATTTCAAGAAGTCTAAATTGGGTACTTCACATACGAGATGCTCCACTGAAGATACTAGGAGCTGGGAGAGGGCAGCTCTTCAGGAAATAAGCTGTAAGAATTTCAAATCAGACACCCTACAACTAACAGGCAACTTGGAAAACCTCATCAACTGAAAGACAAGAGTGTTTAACACAGGATACTTACAGGTAGCATGGTCCGGTGCCAAGCAGAAGCCACTGTAGGATCACTTGCATAGCTCCTGCGTGTTAGCAGTTCCGATGCACTTAAGTTACTTTTGGTCCTTCGGGACCCAAGTTCAGGGGCACTCCAGGAATTAGCTGTGGCACTGGTCCTTGCTGAGGTCTGCTCCAAGGAGTTTGTTCTTGCACTGTTCCCTTCCATTTCTGAGAGGTCCACTGAGGACCTACACGTGTTTGTAGTACTGGAAGCTGCACTTTTCTCCACTTTGGTTTGAGAGTCCTCCAGGGAATCTAAGCCTTGTCTTGTTCTCCAGGAACTTCTCACAGTGACATGTTTTGTTTCAGATGACGCTGCATCTGAAGAGCCATGGCTCTTCCAGCTGATTGTCTCCAAAGGTGGCTCACTGTTCCTCTCCATGAGTTCAGAAGTCTTTATCATAATACTGCTTCTGGAGACCACTGTTTCTGTTCTACTTCTCGGCACTGCCTCTCCAGTTCTGTCTGTCTCAGATAATTTCAGAGCAGTTTTATTAATGGATATCTCAAAGGATGTGGGGAGATTGTTTGTTATTGCTGAAGGCTCATTTGGAGCAACTCTGATGTTGCTGGTGGTAACATGCCTTTCCTTTGCTGCTGTATCTGCACTGGTCTTTGGAACTGTTGGCTCAGAAGGGAAGATTGTGATACTGCTTGTCATCTTATTTGGTACCATTTTAAAAACAGACTTCTGTTTTTCTGACTCTCCCTCAGAAACAGTCCCTCCCATGACTGCCTTCATATCCTTTTCAACAATTGCAGGTTTAATGACAGCTTTAGATCTCAGAGCTTCTCTCGGGCTGAACGACCTTCTGGATTTAAATCCTCCAGTGCTGGCATCTGATGATTTTATAGACTTGGTGGAGTCTTCATCATTTACAGTGTTTTTGTCATTTTCAAAAAGTGATGCTCTAAAAACTCCCCTGGAATTGGAGAACTGCTTGGAACTGACTTTCTTTCTTGTCTCAAAATCTGAGTGAGTGGTTGTTTTCTTGCTTCTTCCCAATTCTTCATCTGAATTAAGTTTTTCCTGGTTACTCTGGATGGTTTTAGAGTCCGTCTTTAAGCCAGCATTTACATGATCCACTGCTGAAGTTGAAGACTGCTCCGTGTCTTCTTTATCAAGATCTGTTAGAATCTGCAGAATGTCTTCCTGACTCCTGGAGTGATGGGGATGCTTTGTTAGTGTTGAAGGCTTCACACTTTCAAGTGCCATGTTTGTGAATTCTTTTTCCTGGGAAAAAATTGCTCTTTTACCCCTCCCCTCCAAGGGCTGTCTCTGTGATGCAGCAAAAGTGTTTGCCGCTTCTGCTTTAGAGCCAGCGGAGTCCAATGCTGACGCATGGGAGGGGAGGTGGTACCTGTATGCCGAAGATGTGCCGTTGGAAGAGGCGAGATTACCTCTGGTGAGCAATGTGTCACCCGAGCAGTCACTGACTTCTGCCTGACTTTTCAGCTTCTCGGCCAAAGAAGCCACTGATTCTCCTTTGCTTGACTTTTCATCCCGTGCATCAGCACTGGTTTGGCAGATGCCACGGAGCATCTGAGATGGCTTTTCAGCCTTGGATCTCAGGCCTGTGTCACCAACAGGTTTGGAAGGTGCTTTCCAAGATTTTTGCTCCTGTGCAGCAGGAGGATATCGGCTGAGGACAGATGGCTGCTCTTTTGATCTCTTTCCCTCATTCTGCATGACGCAGCCTTCCTTCTGACCAGAAGAAAAAGTGGAAACTAAAGATTTCTCTTCCAGTCTTTTTGAATCTGCCACAGCAGTGTCTGAAAGGGCAGATGCACTAGATGCTTTTCCTGCTTTTCTGTTCATTAAGCTTGGACTGGGCACATGCTTACCACTGTGGGTGTAGCTGTCGTTACTGACAGAGAAATCTCTGTTCCTTGCTCTTTCCCGGCGCTGCTGTGGTGAGAGCTCCCTTGGCTTGTGCTTGGCAGCTGTCAAATCAGCTGTGACACCTCTATATTTAGGTCTGTCATGTTTTCCCCTGCTAGAAAAGCTTGTATCTTCATTTTCAACCTCTCCATTCTCCAGATCTTTCTGTTTCTTTATTTGCATTTTTACTTCTTCTAGCTGACCCATTAAGAGTTTGTTTTTATTCTGTTCACTCAAGTAACTGTCTTGCAGGTCATTGTTTTTGGCTCTCATTTTTTTAAGTTCTTCTTCTAAAGTTTCAAAACGTTTGATCTGAGTTTTAAGTTTCTCAATTTCTTGGGTGAGATCTTTCACTTTGTTGTCTTCCTGGTTTTTATTCTTTTGGTTTTCTGATTTACTCCTGGTTTCATTTTCTACATGTTTCAGGTAATCCACACTTCCCTTCCTCCTGGTCTCCTTAGGGGGCAACACAGAAGTCAAGTCATCCTCAATTCTCAAATCATTTCTGTCCAGGAGATTATTTGATGACCTTTCTAGCAAGTTGGATGCATTTCTAGTTTGATCTGCCCTATTTAGTTTGTTGTTTTGTTCTAGTTTCTGTGTTAGCTCCTGGATTATTTTTTCATTCTGCTTTTCTCTTTCATTAAAATGTTTTCTTTCAGTGATAAAACTCAGTGTTAAGGATTTCAGCTTTTCTAACTCACCCATTAAGCTCTGCTCAGATTTATCCAGCCTGTCCTCAGATGATTCCAGTTCTTTGACTTTCACTCTAAGTATTTCTAATTCTGTAGATATCTTTTTGGTCAAGTTCTTTTCTTCATTGAGGCTAAGACACAGCTGTGTACAGTCATTCTTGCTCCTGCCGAAGGCCTCCTCCAGCTTCTCCAGCTCTGCCATTCTCCTCTGAAGGTGTTCGATTTCTGACTTCAGCTCTCGGGTGAGGCTCTCTTCCTCTTCAAGTTTTTCTTTCATTAACCGGCAAAGCTCTTCAGCTTTCCTAATTTCTTCATCCTTGCCTTCAATTTTCAGCACTCTTTTCCGCAGAGCTTCAACATCAGCCAGCATGCTGGAGTTGCTGCCTTCTGCCTGGATGACTTTGTCCTGGAGGTCAAGCAGCTCATCCTCTGCTTTCTGCAGATTTTTGGTTGCTTCCTCCAGTTCATCAAGACGGCGACTAAGACTCTGCAATTTGAATCGTAGATGCCGATTTGAGGTTTCCTTGTAACCTGTAAATTCTGCCATGTTTATTTTTTATTCCTTTTAGGTGAAAGCTTTGCTTAGTCTGGGTGAATGGTGTGGTTTTTAACACCTTGTGTATTCCTGGTACGTTATTGTTTCTTTGAATAGAGGCAATCTCACCCTAAAAGAAAAAAATGCTTAAAATCAATATGAGAGCTCAGAATATAAATATTCTCACTGTATAAATTAGGCTATAAATGTTCACATAAATAACTTTTTAATTAAACACATTTCTGAGTGCTAAATTAAGAGAAATGAAACTGTGGAGAAGAGCCACAGTCCATTTACTTTGGATTTCCAAAAATAGCCTGTTCCTAACAGCTGAGGGAAGGAAGTGCCCTCCTCTGCTAGTCTGCACAGGCGGTGTGTGCACGGCCGGCAGACCCTCACCCCAGTGCTCAACAGTCAGTACAAGCTGCCATGTGCAAGCTCTTAGGCTGCAGAGTTTCATGCACGTGCAGGATTCAGGTTCCTGTACATGCCCATGCAGAAGACACCTCTCTTTTCAGCACTGCACTCCTGAAGATGCCTCAGAGATGAAGATTCAGGAACCGTAAGACAGACCTGGAAACCAGAAAATGCAACCTCCAGCCATTTGGTGGCCACTGAGGAGGGGGCAAGCACCCACGCTCGCAGGTCACAGACAGAGAGTGTAAGAGCTGCTGCCAGTCAGCACTGCCCATCACTGCCAGTATTTCTCCGGCAGCCCAGACTGCTCAGCAGAAATCTTCACCTGGGTTGTAGTCACACCCTGAGGACACTGTGCCAGTGGAGTTTCAAGTTTCTCCCTCCTGTTTCAAAAGCTGTCATTGCCCTCAGCTGCCACCCACTCGCCCACCCAGGAGATGAGCAGTTGTGAATACTTACACGCCTCCTCCTTGCTGCCACTGACAATGAGCAGTGATTGTAACACATGGGCACACTCTGACACACTAAATGCAGATCTCTTCCCAGCTCAGCTCAGAGGTGGCAGGGCTTTTTTTAAACTGCCCCTCTGTGCTTGGCAGGGAGTAGCAGGGAGGGGGACCTGAGCAGGCCAGAACAGCTGCTGGGAGGATCTGAAGTCATGGAATCATAGAATGGTTTGGGTTGGAAGGGACCTTAAAGATCACCTAGTTCCAATCCCCCCCTGCCATGG